GATGTGTCTGATGTATGGGTGGATAAGATTATAAGGTAATGAACTAGTGATTGGAGTTGGGGAAAATTAATATCATGATAAAATAGGTTTTATTTTAGGGCTGGGAAAGATAACGCGTTATTTTCGCGTTAACACATTAATTAATACCGACAATTATTTTATCGCGAATTAACGCAGTTTTGTTTATTATTATTTTGAAAGTCCGTTGCTCACTGGCTCTGAATGCACATACAACAAACCATGGGTCACGGGGGGTGGGTTGTTGATCAGTACTGGCTTGGGATCGGGCGTCATCACGCGTCTCAACCAATGAGCGCATTTTGGGCGGGCCTAAGACTACTGCAGCTCTCACATGAACCGGACACGCCATCACAAGAAGAATACACGACTTGTATGAAAAGGAGAGGACTACAAAGGTAACGGCGTTACAACGTGCACCGACTGTAGCTCTCACTGGAGACTAGTGGACATCGCTGGGTAACATAATTATCTCGGAGTTACAAAATTCACATGCTCTGACTGTAATGAAAACAGAAGAGACATTTTGCTGAAACGTGCGCAAGAGCACTAAATTCATGTTGCACAGCAATGGTACGTTTCAAATAAAGTCAGCACACTTAGCACAGATAGTGCAAGAAATATGATCGCTGCTGCGAGACACGTGCCCTTTGAACGCGTCCCGTGCGTTGCGCAGTCTCCATCGTTCTGTCAGTTTCTCTGCAGTACAGAGCGTTTGACAATGTCCTGGCCAAATGCAGAAAGGTTGTGGGCCACTGTAAACACAGTCCACCCAGTGCTGCAGAATTAGAACAACAACAAATTGAACACCTTATTTGTTTAAAGTTGAAAAAAAACTTCTAGGTCGAAGACGTTTCACCTCTCATCCAAGAGGCTTCTTCAGTTCTGACTGACTGGTGTTGAGCTGGAGATATTTATCCCCCTCGATGGTGTTTCGGTCCTTTGAGGGCCAACAATGTTCCTTAACGACTGAGTCGTTATAGCCCAGTATCGGTGAGAGTCGTTACCTGTCTTTGAATCCTCCCCTGTGGACCGACGCCTATTGTCCTGGTGGGCATGTTTGGGCAGAGATCTCAAAACAGGATTGTAGATGGATGACAAGTTGTGTCTTAGTCCACCACCCCTATTTAGTGAGGGGTGTTCTATTTTTACAAAAATAGCTTCCTTAACTCCTCTCTCAAACCAGCGATGTTCTCTGGAGAGGATCTGGAGGAATGTCCTTTGTCCTTCAGGTGGAGGTGGACTGCTGACTCTGGTCCACTGGGGTTGGCCCTCCTGTGTTGGGCCATGTGTTTGTGAAGCGGCTGCTTAGTTTCACCCATGTACAAGTCGTTACACTCCTGACTACACCTAATGACATACACCACCTCCTATAACGGACTATACCTATAACGGGCTATAACGACTCAGTCGTTAAGGGACATTGTTGGCCTTTTGAATTCATTATTTAATGCTGATCATATCAATGCAGTTAATCGTGATTAATCACAGAAAATCATGCAGTTAACAGATTTTGGATTTTAGTTGCTTCCCAGCACTACTTTATCTTAAATAAACTTACATTAGTTCTAGTAAAAATTGTTTTGTGAAGAATTAAACTGAACTCTAAGAAATTCATTGTGTGAAAACTGTAATTTTGATTTTATAACCTACATTTTGAAACGCGTCTTACAGGCTGATCACTGTATTTGAGACCCATATATTTAACAACTTTTATAGAACAAGCCCTAGTGTCAATACAACATCTTACTCTGGGGAAATTGTTTTAACGCTTCTTCTTACCATTTTACAAAATATACTCAGCCTCTCATCTGATTCAGTATTACATAAATGTATTTGCATCTAAAATTCAAAACCTTAAAACATGTGGCTTCGGTAAACGCCACCTCGTGGACACATTCAATGTTACCGCTTCTGATGGAAAATGCACGAATCTACCGATACTATTTAATTCGACGAATTCAGCAAATGTGCGTTTTATTAGCGATTCACGCTATAAATACACACATACATAACGAATCATTGTGGCTTTATTTTTTCCTCCTTTAATTTATAAAAACGGATGTGTGTCGAATCTGCTATCATGAACTCAGACCTGCTTTAATACAGTTCATGTGTTTCACTCTACGTCTTGTAGATTAATAGACGTGCACATTTATGTACATGTCTAATACAGATATAAATATATGACAGAGGTTTGCTGTTTGGAGACCAGAGAGGTAGGTTTACTGCTAGTTTTCTGCTTAAACCTAAAGCGGTTTGGACATTGGTAAGATGCCGCTAAACCTGTCAGCACGGTTTGCTAACATTAAGTGTATCTTAACAAACTAGCCAACTTTGTTGAATACTAGAGCCGGACTTGTTTAATTACCGATTATCAACAAATCAAACTGTTTATTTTAGCATTTGAACCAGTACAGTCCGCTAACAGAAAAGGTTAGTCATTACCCTGATACATGTCCGGCACTGCACGTTAGGTTACAGCGGTTCTGTTCGGCTAGCAAAGGACAACAGCAGCGTCATGAGTGCGGTGTAAATTACATGAAATGAATCCAACCCCGGGCCTTGTGTGTGTGTGTGTGTGTGATTGACAGTTGCTTTTCTATGCTTTTCTGTTTTTCCAGCCCTAAACGTAGCAGGACAACTATAACCATGGAGCATCACCGACTATAAGTAAATTCTGTCACAGTCTAGGTATATAGGAATTCTTATGCAGGGCTCCTTTGGAGTCAAGCAAAGAGTTAAAAGCCAGAAAAAGAACACCTAGTCTAAAAATAAAGTTACATAAGAAAATGGTAGATGAAAACATGAATACAAAAATAAAGTAATAGATGGTGAATTTCAAATATTGCATATAGTATTTCAAATAGTGGAATTGTATATGATATTTTACTTAGTAAGGTGATGAGGTGTTATTCCACGTTTTTCACAAGTTCATGAAAGTTTGAAGAATGACAGTTAAAAAAAAAAGGTCCATTTACATTTATTTCAAAACAAAACCATATTAACCACTGTGGAATACACTGTAGCTAAGTTCATCTACTGAAATACTGCATGAGGTTCTTGAGGTACTTGAGTGTTTCCATATTATGGTCTTCCACTTCTGACAATGTGAACAATGTGACACTGAACCCCCCCCCGTTGTTACCCGTTGCCCCCAATAGTTAGAGCTATTGGTTAAGATGGCTGCCATCGGTTCTGTACCGGAAACAACAAATTCCTTGTGTGTAACATACTTGGCCAATAAAGGTGATTATCCTTATCTTTCAGGACATTCGCAGTGAAAGATGCTGGGGCTTAAGTGCATTGTGGGTGATCTGTGTGTAGGAGGAAGACTCCCAAGAAGTCTGCTTCATGTCCAGAAGACATCCGTGTCCTCCAAGAGTCAACATGTCAGACTGTATGAACGCCCTCCTCATCTTCCTTGGCAGACTCGGGTATGTTTCCTGTCTTATGGTCAGAACTCGCCTGCTTCTGGAGCCAAGCTGAAGCTTAGGACTCGGGTCTTGGTGACCCTGCTGTTTGGTGGTGGTCTGCTGGCCATGTGGTGGTTCGTGGACTTAGAGAAGCAGCAAAGGTTGCGTCAGCAGCACATGGAACAGCTGCAGAAGGTGGCTCTGGGTCAGGGTAACTTCAGCCTGCTGGACCACAGGGGACAGCGCAGGACCAAACAGGACTTCCTGGGCAGCTGGTTGCTGCTGTACTTCGGCTTCACACACTGTCCCGATATCTGCCCTGATGAGCTGGACAGGCTGAGTGCCGTGGTGTCGACCCTGGACCAGGACACCTCGCTGCCGCCTATCCAGCCCCTTTTCATCACTGTGGACCCAGAGAGGGATGATGCATCAGCGCTGGCCCGATACGTCCAAGACTTCCACCCCCGTCTGATTGGACTGACAGGGGCATTGGATGAGGTGAAAGAAGTAGAGCGGGACTACAGAGTGTATGCCAGCCCTGGACCCAAAGACGAGGATGGAGACTACATTGTGGACCACACCATCCTGATCTACCTTATCAGTCCTGATGGGCTGTTTCTGGATTATTACAACAGGATGAATAACCAGGAGCAGATCACACAGAGCATTAGGAACCACATCAAGGCCTATGTCAGACTCTGAACAAACCACATGTTAGAGCTTCAGTGTGGAGAAAGTCTGTGCTTCATTTCTCCTTCTCTTGTATGGAATTGATCACAGCACCAAACTATGATTAAAAAGTTTTAATTCTCTGTTGCAAAGTGAGAATCATTTGTGTGCATCTGACAGATTTAAATATAGACAACCTGAAATTCTTACAAGCATAAAACCTTTAGAAATTGTTTGGATTTGGTCGTCTAGAGAGCGCCCTCCTTGTTAACACACACACACACACACACACAGTGTGACAACTTTTTATTACAAATTTTTTAAGAGACTGTGTGGGGTGCAGACAAAAGAAACTGACATATAAACCTTAGTGCACCAAACATGTTTGACTTCAGTGTTGAAATTATTGCGTTTCACTGCGATGATGGCAGCGTTTTGAATCTGTCTGTAGCTTTTTCACTGCTAAGTAGAGTCAGTCCCATTGAGTCCAGACTGTGTTCCAAACCCTCAGCACTGTCGATCTCCACAGTGTAGTCATTAGCCTAAAAGAAGACATGTGCACAGAATATATAAATCACAATTGTGTTGAAGCTCCGGGGTCAGTCAAATAGCTCCAACACACTGCTCTGTGCGGAGTGAGCAGCAGAGTAATGTAAATAAAACAGAGACCAGTGACTCTTCCTTAAGACCCTGTAAAAGCCTTTGGTTTTAATGATTGTTGAAAAGTGGCCTAATGAATCTATGAGTGTCAGGGTTCAGTGTGATGTTTAATGTCCCTGATGGCCTCTGTAGTCTCACTTGGCAACCACCTTTTTTAAGATGCATAAAAGCTTTAATAAAAAAATAAAAAAAATCACATGTTGTATTTACTGACATTTTTTATATCAGAATAAAATGTGAAAATCTCTTGGGCTTGTGTTAACCCCAGACCTTATTTCAGGCCTCTAACCAAAAACCCACTGACTTCAGAAGGAGGGAACAGGAAGTGCAAGAATGCTAACATTTCAGGGTTTTAGGACTCACTTATACAGCACTCTATAGGAAAACACTGCCACGCTGTAGGGTACTGCAGTCGATGCCAGCATGAATTAAACCGAGATGGTTCACACTGAGTTCTTCCTTTAACTCTTCTGAGAGCTAGTAACTCTCAAACATGGAAGAAAAGCTCCAGCACAACACGTGACAAGTTTGGTATGTGCTGCATCTATTACAAGGATCAGACTGATTTACCAGCTGCAGTGACGCCAGCAGGTATCTGGAGGCTTCCAAGTTGTCCAGACCATAGACGATGGAGGAGAAAGACCTGCGCTGACTGACCTTGCCCAGTGCTTCCACAATCCTGTCTCCATATTTGTGGATGTTGAATGGTGGCTGCTGCTCCTGGAAAACACCAAATAGACGGACACGTTTCCAGCTGTGTTTCCTCTGAAGACCAGTCTGAACCGGTTTCCAGTGTAGTTTACCTGCAGTGCCAGTTCTGGTCGGATTCTGTCCTCCCACTCTTTGACTCTTCGAGACAGATCTGTTTCCTGGTTGTAATCACGACACATGGCCACCAACTGATCCTGAAGCAGCAGAGACAGAAGCACAGGCTCAGCAGAGATTTAATCTTTTCACCGTTAAAGGTGGGACACAGTGTTTATAATTTAATTAATACATTGGTTATTTATTAACTTAGTGTTAATCGGTTTACTGATTGAGGAAACAAGCTGAGTTCTCTTTTGTTTATAGAGCAAGATATTTTTCATATTATGACATCACCACCACAAACTAAATATTCAGACTTTACATTTATACAGTATTTTCTTCTCATAAAAACATTCTTGCATAAAAGAGTCCTGACTCCAGAGGGACTAAAGCTCATTATTATGAATTCAGTTAATTATCATCATCACATACATTTTTTGTTATATCAACAGATTTCTTGTTCTATAATGATGTAATTTTGATAATGGTTTTAAACTAAAGAATCTATCTTTTGATATGAAAAGTTTCCTTTTAAAACTGGAAATGAGAAATAGATTATTTTTAACCAGAATCTGACAGGTTTTTAAAAAATATATACTAAGTCGTTCTTGTTAACACCTCAAGTCCCTCAATGTTTCACTTAAAATCTGTACATAAACATTCACCAATCTGTTATTAATAGAACATAATGTTTAGAATCAGCTCTAAGGACATGCTTCAGTATTTTCATCTGTAGACTGGTCATACTGGATTAATGGCGGTTAAAGTAGAGTGACCATCTGATGGCTCACACCGCCAGCTTTACCTCTACATCAGATTCAGTAGTGAACGAGATGATTTCAAATGTTATTGATTGTATTAGTGCTCACTTACCACACGCAGCTGCACAAGGTCTTCATAAGTCATTTCATCTCTCAGCGCCTCTGTAAACACACACACACCACAGCATCAGTCCATCACCATAAACTAACTCTTGTAACTCAATGACACAGAAAGTGACAATGTATTAATCAATCACAATATTTTCCAATCAAAATGTTTGACTCCACTTTGCTGAGACACTGCTCGCAGCTGAGTCCAAACTCCCCCACACCCAGCGTGAGCCACCACGCTGTCTGGAACCTTTGGATTTCTTCTGTTTTATACCATGGTGTCTACGTCATGTTACACTGAACCCTGATTATTTTAGGTTAAAACGCCACAAATTCATGTTCCAGCATCTTAATTGTGAATATTTTTTGTTTTCTGAAAATCCTGGTCAGATAAAACAAGATTTCTGTTCTTCTGTGTATTTTCACTTTAACGTGTTATAGAGCTAAATTGTCAATGAGATTATCAAAAGAAGCAATGAGAAGAATAAGAGATAATGAAAACAATTTGGCTGCAGCCAAAATGTAACAAAGTTTTTACCTCCAAACACTGTTTCAGAGCTGCCTCCATTTTCATTCAATACTTTGACAAAAAAAAAAAAAAAAAAAAAAAACAGC